TAACTTTGGTTTTTTTGTCAGTAAATGGCACAAACAATATATGCACTGGAGTGCGAACCACAAGGCCTGCAGTTCGAGCCCATCAGCCACTCTGTGGGAGAAAGATGAGGCTTTCTGCTCCCGCAAAGATTTTAAGCCTCAGAAACCCAAATATATATATATACACACATACATAAAAATAAGTAGGAACACCAAGTTGATGGCACTTAACAACACAACAACAAATGGCGTAACAACTGAAGCCCAAACCCCCTGACAACCACTGACTTCCCCCCCAGTGATCGCTAGACTTTCTCCATCCTCATGGCCATTTCATGCAAGGTCCCATCAAGACTTGCTTTCGATGACTAATGAGTCTCGCAGACAGTAGTCAGCTCCCATAAACGTTTCCCTCCTTGCCAGAGGGATTAACTTTATCCCAGTAAGATTCCCCCACTTGCCTCACAGTTATGATATGGATCCGTCTGGATTGCGAGATCATCTGTGAATACATCTATCCATTACGATACATGTTCTGAGCTCCACAAGGTCAGGAACCACGTCTTACTCACAGTTAGCCTCCAGTGGATGGAGCAAATCTATTCTGAGGCTCAGTAATTGCTCAGTAACTGAATGGGTAAGTTCTGGACTTAGAGCTTGTCTGAAGCTGCCACTGATTATGAACTAACTGTGGGTGGGGTCCCAGCCATCGCCTTAGAAATCTCTGGGTTCTATGTGAGGTAAGAATGCTGAAGGCAGGCAAGGGTATGATGACAACATTTCTAACAGCATAATCAGCAGTGGGTTGTCTGGGAATGCCAGAGAAATGGCTGGCTTGAGTCTATCACTAAGGGAGAGTGGTATAATGGGGGCAAGTTATTAATAGCTCCTTTCCTTGAGGAGCAGCAGAGGCAGGGGTCCCTGAGAAGAGATAAGAGAGTCAGGGGTTACATCCTCAGTGGATGCTGAGTTAAGATTCCTTCCTACCCCTACCGGAAGAGCACCCAGGGTGTCTGAACATGTGGGCATTCTGAAGCAACCTGAACCGGCTTGTATGACGTACCTAAACTTTCCTTTCACAGAGTCAAACCAAATAAACTCATGATTGCATTCCTCTTGGCCATTTGCTGTGATCATACTTTGCGTTATATTTAACATCCTTTTAACATTCCCATTGCAGAGGATCGGAGAAAGTCTTTCATGCGGAGTCAGTATTATTCTAGGTGCTAAATCTCGGACACGGAAAATGTCGTTGACTTATCTAAGGCCATATAGACAAGTCAATAGCTTATTAGGGCTGCATGCTACCTGGCTGCCCTCGTGGTTTCCCACACTGATTTCTGTCCAAGGTTCTAGGGAATATACAGCTAAGAAGAGTTCAGCCTCTCTGTCCACCAGGTTGGTGGATTTTCTCAATGGCAGAGGATATAAATGAATTCCCGAATGAATCCTGCCAAGATAGGGAGAAATCACTCAGTCTAATGCTTAATGATTTTTATCCTTATGCAAGATATTTTCTGTACTTTCTCATAGCTAAGGGGGAAAAAATTACCCTTTGAATGCTCCCCAAAGAGGACAGTTTCTATATTCAAAATAGCAAGAATCACTCTGTTAGACAAGCCATTTGGTAAATGATTTAGAATAAAATTAACAACCATAATCTTCAAGTTAAATTGGATAGGTCACTTGTAGTTTATACGTAATTTTAATTATGTAAGTTCTTTTTATTATGGATGCGTATCTTAAAAGCAATCTTCCTTTCAAGTTATATATGGATATTCTAGATAATTTTAAGGAGCCCTGGTGGCACAATGGATTAAGCATTGAGCAGCTAACCGCAAGGTAGGTGGTTGAAATGCACCAGCAACTCCAATGGATAATGACAAGGCTTTCTACTCCAGTTTCAGAAACCCTATAGAAACCATAGGAATTCCTAAGTCCAGGGCATAGACAATAAGGGCTTGCTCTCCAGCAGACCTTACGTGAAATAATATAGCCACAAAGCATACAGCTCCAAAGCATGACCATTGTTAGTAAGTGACAGCCAGATACAACAATAGGAAGAGAACCTGTTTAAACAGACCATCTGAAATCACTGCTCCAAGGAAATTACAGTTCATCTCCTGAAAGTTACATTGAAATAAACTCTTTTCCAACACTGAGCATTTTTAAGAAGACTCTTAGCAGTCATGGGGACCCATTTACTGTGGAATTTTATCTTTAGTAGAGTCAACTATGTTCTTTCACCAAATGATTTTGCTCCCTGGCACTGAACCAGGGTGGTGCAGTGGGAAAGTGTTCAGTTATAATCAGAAGGTCAATAGTTGGAATCCACCAGCCTACTCGGTAGGAGAAAGTTATAATAGTCTGCTTGCATAAAGATGTACAGTTCTGGAAACCTTATGAAGTAGATGTACTCTTTCCTACAGCTAGCTATGAGTTGGAATCTATTCAAAGGCAATGGCACAGATTTTTGGTTTTATTGTTGTTAGGAGCCACCGAGTCAATATCGACTCCTAACAACCTTATGTACAACAGAACGAAACACTGCCCAGTCCTGCACCAACCTCACAATCATTGCTAGGCCTGAGCCCATTGCTGCTGCCACTGTGACAATCCATCTTTTTGGGGGTCTTCCTCTTTTTCTCTGACCCTCCACTTTACCAAACATGATATCCTTCTCCAGGGATTGGTCTGTCGTGATAATATGTCCAAAGTATGAGAGACGAAGTTCTGGCCATTCTGGCTTCCAAGGAGCACTCTGGCTGTACATCTTCCAACATAGATCTGTTTTTTTTTGGCAGTCAATGGTATTTTCAATATTCTCCTCCAACACTGTAATTCAAATGCATCAATTCTTCTATGGTTTTCCTCATTCACTGTCCAACTTTCACATGTGCAAGAGGTTATTGAAAATACCATGGATTGGTACACCTTAGTCTTCAAACTGATGTCTTTAAAACTTTTAAAGCTCGTCAACACTCAGAAGAGGTTTTGGGCAGCAGATTTACCCAATGCATTACTTTGTTTGATTTCTTGACTGCTGCTTCCAAGCATGTTGATAGTTGATCTGAGCAAAAGGACAACTTTATCTTTTCTCCATTTATATGGATGTTGTTTATTGGTCCAGTGATGAGGATTTTTGTTTTCTTTACACTGAGGTGAAACCCATATCTAAGGCTGTGGCCTCTGATTTTCATCTGTAAGTATTTTAAGTCCTCTTTGCTTTCAGCAAGCAAAGTTTTATCGTTTGCATATTGCAGGTTGTTAATGAGTCTTCCTCCAATCCTGAAGCCATGTTTTTCTTCATATAATCCAGCTTCTCAGATTATCTGCTCAGCACACAGACTGAATAAGTATTGTGAAAGAATACAACCCTGGCACACACCTTTCCTAACTTTAAACCATTCTGTGTTCCCTTTTTCTGTTTGAACAACTGCCCCTTGGTCTATGTACAGGTTCCTCATGAGCACTGTTAAGTGTTCCAGAATACTCATTCTCTGCAATGTTGTCCACAGCTTGTCATGATCCAAATAGTTGAAAGTCTGTGCATAGTCAATAAAGCACAGGTAAACATCTTTCTGCTATTCTCTGCTTTAGGTCAAGATCCATCTGACATCAGCAATGGTATCTCTTGTTTCACTTCTTCTGAATCTGGCTTGAGCCTCTGTGGAAATTCTCTGTGAATGTATGGTTGCAGCTGTTTTTGCATTATCTTTAGCAAAAGTGTATTTTCATTGGTTTTAATGAATCCTGACTAGGAATGATGAGAGATGGACTACTTCCAAATATTGAGTCACTGAAAACCTTATGCAAAGCAGTGGAACATTGACAGCACCAGAATATTGACTATTGGTTTTCTTGAATCCTGGTATACACATGGTTTGCTCCTCTGGGACTGCTCTTTAAAGCTAGCTTCATAACATCGTCCACAAAGACAATATTCTACATCCTACTTTGGTGAGTAGTGACTGGGATCGCAAAAGCTCAAGAGCAACCATCTAAGGTGCAACTATTGGCCTCTCCATGCCAAGAAGAAAGAAGAGAGATGAAAATTGAAAACGCCTGGAATCAACTAGTCCAATGGAGCAGGTGAACATCAGTCACCATGACTCAGACCAGAAGAACTAGATGGTTCCCAGCAACCACTACTAATTGCTCTGAAAGGGATCACATCAGATGATCCTGAATACAGTGGGAAAAGTGTTGCACAAAACTGAAAATCATTAAAAAAGACCAGGCTTACCGGTTAGAAGGACACTGGTTAGAAGAAGGAACCTGATACTCTGGCCCTCAACCACTTTTCAGGTCTGGAATGGAACTTACCCTCATGCTCCAATTTTCAGCCAGGCAGTAGATTAGGTATAGAGTAGGGACAAGACACTAGTAAAGTATGCTCATGATGGAATGGTCAAAAGAGCAATGTTTACCTAAGGACAAAGTTGAGAAGGGATAGGAAAGAGGGTGGAATATAAACAGGAATCACAGGGAGGAGGTGAGAGAACTGTTGTTACATGGAGGGGATTGTAATCATTGAGATGAAACAAAGGATGTGATTTGTTGAATATAAAACTGATGATCCTCACTTAATTTACAATAAAAAGTTAAAAAAAAAAAGCTCCCCAAAACAAAAAACAAAAATAGATTCTTCCTTTGGTGGATGTTAGGAATGAAGCACATTAGAATATTCCCTACATGGCTTTGCTAAGATTTTAGTCTTTGGTTATGGGTTGAGAATCTCGCTAACCTCTACAAAAGTATAAAAGGCAAATGTATATGAAAATCGTGTGCTTGCCAGCATTTCTTCAGAGTGTGCCCCTGGCCAGTCACGGGCAGTCTGGATCCAAGAAAGCTATGTGGAAGCATTCATAACCAAGAAGCCTCACTTCAAAATCTTTTCATTTTTCTGACTCAGATAAGGAAGCAGCAGGGTGCACCTCCATAAGGTCTGCCAGAGACTTTTCTGAGGTGCGTTTTCCACAGATGAAGGTGGAAATGTTCCCTTGCTGGTGATAACTTACCCTTTCCAGAGACTTCAGAAGGTTTTGTCTTTCTTTGAGCTTCTGAATACTGATGACAATTTTGTGTCTTGCACCTTTGGTAACATTCTGTAATGAAATAAAAGTATAAGAATCCTATTTTAAAGAATCAGCTTAGAGGCTCTTTAGTTATGTTGCTGTCTTCCTTGTTTCCATGTGTTCATAGTAAAGATACATTTATATCTCTCCTTCATAATTTACTGTCATAAACCTCTTCATTTGAAATTTTCTAACCCCCTCTGGCTACATGTTTGCCTGTATCTTTGGACTGTGACCTTTAAGAAGGGAGAAAGAGCAGTAAAGAACAGCCATTTATCCTACCATGTATGAAATTTCTTTATAGTCTTAAAAGACACATTTTAAGTCATTTACTCCTTCTCTTCAGGTTTGATCACTTCAGTCCTCTTTGGTTTCCCAGTAGTTTCCAACCCCAAGCAGATAAGTGTTTATTGCTTTCTCAGACCTTTTCTGTATAAGCACATCTTGAGAAGTCGTGAAGCCCAGTACAATTCTTATCTAGGATCACATAACACAGGAGAACTTTCTATCGGCTCACAATTCCTCATTTGTCTCCATAAGGAAAATGACACTTGAAAATAATATAAACTTATAGTTCTGTCATTACTTCAGGCAAATTAATAGATTCACATTTAGAGCTCTGAATTTTATCTTTTTTACTGTGTACCAATAGAGTGGACCCAAGAATGGTTGATAAAAGGCATTGCAAATGTCCAGATAGAAGATCCTTTTTCAAATCAGGTCTCTAATACAAGCTTCCAGCAACTTCTTATAACTCCCCCATAGAATTCCTCCTAAAACAGGACTAGATGGGCATACCAGTAACTTCTCAATTACTCAGAAAAAATAAGATTCAAATCACAAATGAATCCACTTCTCTAAGATCAAGCACAGGGGGCGAAATTTCCATTTAGCACTGACTTTGGGTTCAAGTGAATTCAAGTATTCTGAAACATTTGTGCCAGTCTCTGGCTTGGCCCTCTATGCCATTTTTTTTCTCAAGTTGAATCACCGAGCAGGACTTAGACTTTTTCCTCAACTTTGACCCAAACACAAGAATGCTCTTAGAAACAGTTCTCATCAATCCCAGGATCTCAGGGAGCAATCAGGGAGAAGTGTTAGGAAGCTGAAATCAGTGCCTTTCATTCTCTTGGACCATGCAGTGACTTTGAGCTTTGTCTTGTGCCTCAATACTGGTATTCAGTCAGGCCTGCAGAGGTTAACTGAGGGTACTGAACAGGCGACAGGAAACCAGCGATCTGCTGAGAGGTATGCTTCCAGACCAACTAGGCCCCAGATGGGACAATCTCCTCTTCCTGTAAGGGCAATATTATTAGCCCATTCAGACCATTAATTCTTTTAAATCATTGCTCAAAGGAAACTGAAGTCAATCTGAAACATGCAAAAAGCATTTTAAGCAAGGGAAACAAAGACATCAGTCAGTTCTATTTTTTTGAGCACAGCATGGTAGGAAACATGTTTAGTTTCAGGGGTTCTGTTATTGGCCTCTGGCATCCACAACTGGGGAGAGATGCCTCAGAACGAATGAGGAACTCTGTCCTTTTATGTCATGAGAAAAGAAAATGAAATTTGAGACTTAGGGAAATCCCAATCTCATTGATCATCCTGTTATTCAGGATGGTTTGGAGAAAAAAATATTTTGTGCAGTTTAATCTCAACTAAGACCAGTCTGAATAAGCCTTTGTGAAAACGTTGGGGTAGACTGGAGGCATGGTCTGGTTCTTTTACTCAACAGTTGGGTTTAGACTTGTAACCAGACTGGACAACAGGTAATCTGTCATTCCTCTGGTTGGGCAGATGGAGGGAGGGAGCAAGTAAGCAAAAGCAGGGATGCTTTACAGAGGCTTTGATTAATTGTTATTTCCTCTAGGAGACTCCATGGTGTGGTGCTGTTAGGATAAGCACTGGACCACAGGTTGGTCTGAACCACAAAGTTGGCAATTCAAGCTCATCAGCCACTCCTTGGAAACCCTATACAGGGTCACTTTGAGTCGGAACTGACTCGACAACACTTAACAACAACCACCTCCACCTTTGAACTTAGAGTGTACTGCATTTATACCTTTTTCATAACATTTTGTCATACCCTCACTTAGCCCTATGACCATCTGCTCATCTTCCCTTGCCCACCGGACCCTGAAAACAATAACCTAGCTGCATACAACATGGATAGCTTGTCAGCACCAGGCAGTTCCTAAAACATGCCAAGCTACTGTGAGGGGCCCAAACAAGGTACAGATATGGTCCTACACAAAGTCTGCCCAACACTTTGACTTCCTGTTCACCTGGGATACCCTTCTCAGGAAACTGTCACCTGGTACACATACCTGAGCTTCCAGTTGGCACTCCGTAAGGGCCATCATTTCCTCATAGGTCATCTGGGAGAAAAGCGCAGCATACTTGTGCAGGCGGAGGCTTTTCAACCAGGCTGGAACATCTAAGGTGCAAGATGTGCAAGAAATGGGGAGAGAAATCGAGAGGGAACAACAAGAGATGACAAAAGATGTGTGTGGCAACAGAGAGAGGAAAGGAGGGTGATGGTCAGAGAAAAGAAAGAAAAAAAAACAAGAAAAAAACTTTGTTACTACTTATTTAATTTTGGGAGTAAATTATGGATTTAGAAGTCTGGGTCTACCCTGAAATTCCACTCTTGGGTCCCAACAACAACATTCTACTTTTCTTATGCTCTTCTAGACTAAAGGTTGTTAACTTGGGGTCTTTGGGAATCCTCAAAAATTATATTCCAATTTGTGGATGTCTGGACAGTTATCAGAGGGATATTCTTGACACCCCTCCCCACCCAAAATAGCAGGGTATCTCTGCTGTAGTTGGACCACTTCCTTGTTGATTTGGAAACAACTGACTTAGAACATTAAGACCACACATAATGAATCTATATTCTCAAGATAATTTCTTTTGAGGTTCAGTGCTGATGTCCACATGCTGTTTCTCCCACTTTCACAGTAATAGGAAGACCAGGTAGAAGGAGTGCCCCAAGGGTAGAGTCATTGTAATTCCTGGCCTGATGGATTTCTCCTGTCTTCCTTCTTCTAACTCACTGGGCATGCTCAACTCTCCAACTATCAGTCTAGTGGAAGGGACTAGCTGACTACTTCTTCAAACTATGAAATGTGTCACTGATGTTTTTCCTGAATGCCAACCACAAATGTTATTAGGACCTGTAAGTTCAGAGATTATTAGCTAGACCACAGGGTAATCGACATTCCAAAGTATATCTGAAACAGACCCAAGTTTGGGACTAGAGAGTTAACACAATCAAACAGCTATTGAAGTTCACAGGATAATTATTACCTTATTAAATACACCCAAAAGAAAGGACTTGTCCATATTCTTTTACATTTTCAAGCTGATAGGCTTTTTGAGAAGTCTCTAGAATCATCTCACCCAACCCTTGGTCCATATTCTATACGGGAAATTAGTCACTAAATCGACACCACAGAGCAAGTATGTGATAAAATGGGACTAAAATCTAGGTCTCCTTATTCCCAACTTTTCCCTAGATTGGATCAACTCTTGTGAAATGAGGGCCAAACAACTCATTAGTGGTAGATCATGAGTTAACAGTGACTATAATGTACTGTAAAGAGCTAAAAAGCATTGGCTAAATGTTAATCACGAGGTATCACTCATGAAGTATTATAAGCACTTGACTGCTAACCACGAGGTCAGCAGTTCAAACCCACCAGTCACTCCTTGGAAATGCTACACAGGGTTGCTACAGGTCAGATCTGACTTGACGGTACTTAACAACAACCACCATGTTGACTGCAAGATACTGTCCACTACTAAGGGGTGTAGTACTAGCAACCACATGGTTGGGAGTTCAAACCAACCAGCTGTTCTTGGAAACCCTACACAGAGTCCCTCTGAGTCAGAAGGGACTCGATAACAAACAAGAAGTGCTTTATTATGAGGTATTGACAGGATCACAAACATGCCAAAATAAGTGGGAACTTTCCAAGTTTTCATTATCTGGAGAAGATAATTAGATAGATCAAAGAGAACTGGTCCACTCTTACGTCAGTCCTTATATCCTTGGTGGTGGCAGTTATGGGCCGTGGAGTCGGTTCCGACTCATAGCGACCCTGTACAGGGTTTCCGAGGCTGTAAATATTTACAAGAGCAAAAAGCCTCATCCTTCTCCCGCGGAACAGCTGGTAGTTTCGAACTGCTGACCTTGTGGTTTGCAGTGCGATTCGTACGTAACCACTATGCTACCTCAAAACCTAGGGAATATGGGCATGGATTATATCCTGAAATCCAAAGACGTAGGAGAATGGGCAAAGTGAAGTGTCTTCTTGACTTGTAGTGACCTTGAAGACCAAAGAAGGAACATTTTTGTAGAAATAGACAGCCAGTGGCATTCTATGAAAACTCATCCCAGGCAAGAAGTCATTTGATGCTGTACTTATAAGCCTTCATTCTTCTGTGACAAATGGAGAGTCCCTCTGGGATTGTCATGAACCACAGAGATACATAGTGCCCATCCTTTATAGCCTCTTCAACTTGAACTGCGATTGGCCATCTCAGGAATCTGACACAGCCTCTTTTGTGACATCCTGGAGCTAATTTACCAGACTTCATTTCTCCATCATGTCTTTGTTGCGGATGAAACAGTGCAAGTGCGTCTGCAAAGCGAGCAGCAGTGAACTTAACTATAGCGTCAGCTTGCAGGCCAACTGCATGTTCCCACTTGAATCAGTCCTCATGATTCAGAAAAGTCTGAGTAACCCAATGCCGCAAATAAGCACAATTCATCACAAAAGAGTATGCAATAACCACAAGGTCAGCAGTTCAAACCCACCAGTCAAGCATTCACTGGGTGCCCTACAGCTTAATCAGGAAAAATCCACTGATAATAAAGCAAACAGGATCCCGAGCCTACTGAATCACATTGCAAACTGGGTGCTCTAAAGACCCCGTTGACAACATGGCGTTTGAATAGTCAGACAGAGTAGGGTGACAAGTTGGCAAGTTTCAGTTCAATCAATGCTAGTTCCTTTCTATAGAGCTATTTTGACAAATGTAATTCCCCTGGTTAGAGGTAAGGAACAGACTGCTTCATTCATTTAGTCAAAATGCAGGTCACTGAGGAAGTTTTCCTAGAAAAAACTATAAAACTTCAGAACATGAGGGGCTAGGCCTTCCTGAATTTATTTCTGGATGTGTGCTTGGAGAATGTGAGCTCCTTGTGACCAGATGGTTCTTGGGGCAGGTGAGCATTGACTCTGTTTTTAGATCAAGTTTCTTGGTGTCTAGTTCAGTTCCATGTGCTTAAAGAGCTTTTCTTCCCCCAATGTTAATTGATGAACAAAGAAGCGGAAATCCCAGTTCTTAGAACAGAGCCTACTAACCTTTCACCCCCTGGTTGGCTGCAAGACACCTTCTCTTGCCAGGAATTAAAACAAAACTCCATTACAAGGAAAATAAAGCAGAGAACTGAGAGCCTTGGCCATTCCACTCCCCCCAAGCCAAGAATTGCAATGACTCGGATGCTGGATTCTGTAAGATGTTGACCAGGGATGAACCCTAATTGAAAAGCTCAGGTCTTTCCCATGGTCCATTTTTGCCACACTGTTGGACCCAATTCTGAGAACCACATACCATAATCTCAGACCTTTTTTTCATTTTGCAAAACTCTAGCTGTGGCTGGGAGACACATGGAAACGGAGGAGAAGCAAGGCTACTCCCCCCTTCAAGAGTTGATCCATGATTGGAAACATGTATGCCTCTTGGGCTCTGACTACTGGGTGATGCACAGCTGTATCACCTCCTTTGAGTTGTTCCTGATGGACATGCCAAAGGAGATACCCAGACTCAAAAGTTTCTTTTATCTTTTTCACAACACGAGAAAGATAAAGATGCTTTTGTTATATGCTTGGTTGACTTCCTTGCCAAATGTTGTTTTTAAGTGTTGTCGACTTAGTGCCTATTCATAGTGACCCTATATAGGGTCTCCAAGGGTGGGCATTGTGATATTCAGTCACACCAGTTACTGAATGCATACAGGCTTTGCAAAGACATGTCCCTTCCATCAAAACACTTTTCATCTGGAGAAAATCACTGATTCACACCACAAATTACAATAGCTAATTGTGCTAGTGCTGAGTGTATTCAAAGTATACAATGAGTCTGCCTGGGGGAATGAGGGAAAGCTTCAAAGCAGTAGCAATCCTTGAGTCTGCTGGGCAAACCAGACTGAGATAGCCATCATTGGCATGTGAGAACAACATATGAGAACACAGTACAGAACTAAGCACCCAAGCGAGAGCAAACACTCGGTTGAATGATGGAGAATGTCCATAAGGTGGAGCAAACAGGCAAGTTACATGACCAAGATACTTAATACAGAAACAAGGAGAATACACTATCTCTTAGGTGATGAGAAACTGTGAGAAGTACACTCATTTCGGTATATAAGCAAGATGGTGACTGCTAATGTCAAGAACAGTGAAGAGTGGAGACCAGGAGAGAATTCAAGAAACCCTTGAACTTGGCTTGGAAGGGTAGAGGTAGTGGAAAATAAAAGGATAGAAGCAGACAGTACTTAACAATTACTGAACAGGCAGTGAGAGAGAGGAACGGAGTCTAGGATTGCTCCTTGGTTTAATGCTTGGTAGAAAATAGTGATAGAAATACGTAAAGATAGAATATACAGGGGAGGAACAGGTTAGGGGTGAGTAGAGAGATATGGTGAACTCCATTTTAGATCAACTGAGTTTCAATTCCGCTGGGTCAAGATCTTAGAAGAGTCAGGGCTAGAGAGACAAGTTCCCTTGTCAGTAGCACATGGGCAGCTCTTTCAGCATGGGAGTGGATGAGATCACTCAAAGCAAAAGCATGGAGTAAGAATAGGAGAGTGTCAAGGTGGGCCTTCAGAAAAATGTCATGGTTTTGGAAAGATAAGCCCATGAAGGAAACGAAGAGAAGGCTAAGAAGCAGGAGGTTTCTGGGAGAAAGTCCTACTATTCCCATGTTCATGATGGTGGTCCACACACCATAGTTAGCCTCTTCATCCTTCATGAAATTCCTTCTAGGTTTTGCTGCTGCGCGCAGTGACTTTTCTTCTCAAGATGACCATTTCTGATAGTGATACTAGACCCATCTTGTATATGTCCTATGCTTACCCACTGCTGGTCTAACAATGGCCAATTTTCAACTATACTATCTATTTTCATATTAGGGTCTAGGTAAATCAGCCACAGAAAGGGTTTGTGATGTCTATGAGGGGAAGTCAAAAAGTTGTACCAGGGTTCCAGTTCATACAGCTATGAGTTTATCCCAAATAAAACAAGTTTAACAAGTCTCTGTGATTAGTAGATGGTTGCAAACAACCATCTCAGTAATACACTTGTCTTAGACTCATTTGGTGTTGTTATGTGCTGTGGAATCTGTTCCAACTCTTAGTGACCCTGT